GATCTAAGAAACACAGTGTGAAACCCTTAATGGTTCTGTAGAGTCTCTGGACCCCATCTTGAAACACTTAATCAGTGAAGTGACCATGCAAAGCAGAGTGTGTTCCTGGTCCAGTAAGGTAATATGCATTGGGGTGGGGAAGGGGCCTCCAGCCTTGGTGGTAGAGGCCCAGGGGGACGAGTGTGTGTTTCCCAACAAGCTGCGGAAAGAAGGTTGGGAGGGCATGTCTCCTCCCAACATGCCCTTTGCAGAAGGTGAATTGCAGAAACATCCCCCCACGTGTTCCCATTTGCACCAAAGGAAGGTGGGAGGATGGCAGTACCATCCCCTCCCCCCTCTACATTAGCCCGGACTTATAGGCCTGTTGACCTAACTGACTCCTCCTCTCTGATTTTTGACTGCAAGTGGGAACCCTTGAACGCAGCCCTTTTTTCTAACCTCCCCCTGGAAGGGAGGTTTCACACAGGCCTCGGAGCCTAGTTGCACGGAGGCCTGTAGTACTCTTGTGGCCCATGTGTGCCCGGCACACTTGCTGGCACACAAAAGACCCACTAAAACCTGGAGAAGTGTTCTTTCCCCAGTAGCTGTCTCCCCCTACCCCACTGCCAGTGTCTAGCCAGACTCGAGTGTCGAGTGTCGAGTGTCGTGTGTCCTGTTATCTTGTTGCTCTGGAAGCCAGTTAGGCAGGTGGGGATGGAGCCTTTCCACGAGTTTCCGCTCCCATGCCCAGCCGGGATCCTGTGTTCTAAACCAGCAGCTGTCAGATGTCAGAGCAGAAGCATCTCTGGTGTTTGTATTTTCAGCCATAAATGAATACATTTTATACAACCCTGGTAGGAAAAAAAATCTAAACAGAGTAATCCTGAATACTTTCTCAAGGTGGAATATGTTAAAGCATTTTTAGAATATAGGAACCCATTGTGGTGGTAACGTTAAGGCCTTACCTCTCCCAGATGTGAGTTCTCGACAGTTCAGGCAATGAACAGTATTATAGCATGGCCATGTCCCGTCCTTCCAAAAATGTCACTGATCCTAAACAGGAGAAAAAGAGAACACAGACCTGTCCCTCCTCCCCCTTAAATTCCATCCTCTTCTTCCCTCTCTTGAGATGCAGAGTGTTTAAGGGAAAGCAGCCTCATTAGATTGTTCTTAACTGAAACCTAAATGGTTAAGTTACACAGTGGCAAATCAGAATGGTGTCTGTCATCTCTATCAGCTCCTCTGTCTGGACTGAAATAACCTTAATTTCTCGTTGCTCGTTCTGGGCCATGGTGGGGTGCGGCAGGGCTAGAAGGTGAGATCCAGCTCCTCCCTGAACCTGCGGCCCACACGGAGGGCCTGATCCCAGGTGTCACCTCTTCTCTGCCACTTCCCTACTAGTCCAGCTCGGCAGCCAGGCATCAGTAAATAGCGAGAACTGCGAGTTCTTCTTTGAACTAGAATCTTCTCAGCTTGACTTAGCTAACACATTTCACAGGAAACATACTTTCTAGTTTAGATGAAACAGTTCTGAGAGTGGCTGCTAGCGTTTCCTAGCTGGCCTGTGGCCTGAAGGGCCCCTTCTTCCCCCCAGGCAGTAGGCCCTGGAAACCTGGGCTTTCCTGGCCCTTTGTAGTTGGTATGAGGGGCTTCTGGGGCGAGCAGGAAGGAACACAGAAAAGAAGCAGCAGGATGTCCAACTCTGTTCACTGGCAAAATCTCTCGAATTGGGTGGGAGGGGTGGGATGTTTTCTGGGCAAGTCAGCTGGGGCTTTGGATGTTGGGTGGTTATGAAGATAATGAAATACATAATGTAGATGACTTTATTTCAAAAGATACCTTGGAGCCACCCTCAGTTTCAGCTCTTTCCCACTCAACATTCTGCATGACCTTGGGGAAACCACTTTTTCATTGCTGGCTCTAAATTGAAACTCCCCTCTCCTCCTACTTTCTGCCTAGACCATGAGCCAGGCCCTGGGGGTAAAGTGGCACATAAAACAAGCAGCCTTCATGCTGCTTACAATAATGATTCCTCCCCATACATGGCTTGGCCTGTAGGAAGTAGCCAAAGACTGGTGGGGCATTGGCAGGGATGGGGTCCCACCCTCAGGTAGAAGAAGGTTTCTTCACCTCAAGTGCCCTACTTTTCTCCTATTCGTGTGGAAAAGGACAAAGAAGGTGAATTAGCAGATAACTATCAAGTACCTGCTCTTTGCCCAGCTTCAAGGCTTCTGTAATCCAATTGGGTAACGCAGGCTTCAGGACCTGGTACTGATGTGTCATTTTCGCACCAGGTTGGGGGAGCAACTTGGCCTGGAAGAAAGGAGCTGTCTTCAATATCCCTAAATCTTTCTTGTGAAGAGGAGGTGCTTTAGGGGGCTAATGGGACTCCTGGGTTGAAGTTAGAAAAAAGTTTTAAATCAGTGAAAAGACAATTATAAATCAGCACTTTTTGCAAATGGGGTGAGCTGAATGGGAGAAACAAGAAGCACCCCATCTCTAGAAGGCCTTTAGCAAAATCAGGCAGGGAGTGAGAGTTGGCGTGTGACCTGTGAGGTCCCTGTTGATGTGTGTGTGCACGTGCATCACAGGGCAGTATAGAGAAAATGCTCCTCCTGAAAAACTGAGAGCCGCACTTTCCAATGCAGTCTAGTAGTATGTTGGTATAGAGGTTACTTAACACACAGGGCTGTATTCGAGCAAGCATTTTTACAGGGTACACTCTATCCCCAAATGAATCCTGCTTGCTACCTTCTCTCCTTTGCTTGCAAAGCTCTTTTACCCCAGTCAGTGTACTCATACCACGTGTGGGTTAAATGCCACTCGCCTGTAGGGTTCTCTTCTGTAAGTCCCAGGAACTATGAAAACCGCCTATGCCAAAATGGAATAATAAGCTTCTGCATTTAAAAATATTAATGTTTATAAGTTTGAGGAGGAGAAATAACTAGGTATTGCCCTGCGGATCTGCTTGCAACTGCGTGCAAGGACACGTGGAGAAAAGTATTAATCATAGCTCTGCTTAGAATGAGAATAGATTGGAAAGTACACATGGGCCTGCCCGGGAACTGGTAAAATAAATTGTCACATTACCATATACCCAATGACTGTACCTCATCCATTGAAAAAAGAGTTGTTATGAACTGTGGAAAGATGTGTTATTAAATGGAAAAAGCAAGATGCAGAACAGCGTCCGTGGAATGCCTCTACCAGAAGGTGTTTTCTTGTGGATAGAACAGATCTAGGAGGACCCTTGAGAAACTGATTGTACTGGTTGCCTCCAGAGAGGAGAGCAAGGCAGCTCAGAGGTAGGGGTAGGAAAGAGACTTTTTCCTGAATAATCTTTCAAATTTTGAATCATGTAATGGCTATATGACTCTTCAGAAAATAAAAGAATATTTTTTAAAATGTCAAAATGTTTCACTCCATTAGGGCGCTGGGGACAACAGGAGGGAGTTGGGCTAATTTTTTATTGAGCATCTACTACGAGCTAGAGCTGTGGCTATAATTTTAGTCCACACAACCCTTTACAGGAGGCAGTATCTGTGCCCATTTGTAGAGCTTTCAGCCTGAGGCTTTGGGCAGGTGAAGACACTCACCTGTCCGCCAGGGTGGCTCCTTGTTGCTCAGAATTCCTGTCCGAGGAGGCAGTACTTGGAAGGGCCAGGGCCAAAGAATGTGATGTACTGGGGAGCAGGGAGGAAGGCATTTTTCCAGAGCAGTGCAGATTTGTGAGGTGCTGCCCACTCTAGCTGCTGAGGCCAGTAAGTAGAGGTGCACCCTTTATTTGCTCCCCGCTGCACGTGTATTGCGTTACCCTCTGCTTTTGCCGAGCTCCAGTGTGTACTGTCAACATGCAGTCGGTGGTGGCCTGAGCTGGCAGTCACTTCTGTAGCTGGAGGAAAACACCTCCTGACCCCAAAGGAGAGGGACTGTTCTCCGATGCTTTTCAGCTGGGTGGCTGGGTGTCAACTGTGCCGTTTTTGTCTGCCAGCTGGATGCCGACTGGAGAGTTGTTGTTTTTCTGATGGTCAGACCCAGGCTCCTTACTTGCGCTTGGAGAAAAACACATCCAAGCCCTGGTACAAAAGGTCCTCTTTAATTTCTTTGGAAAAGGAGTGGTGAATGAGCTCATTATCACTGCAATCCAAAAAGAAGAGGGTGGGGGAGAAAGTGGCCGTCTCCTCATTGCCTCATCTGACCTAGGCCAGGTTTCCTGGAGTAGGGGGCTTGGATCTGGTTCAGGGGGACCGAAGCCAGATGGCTGGGACAGGTGGTCCATGGAAGGGACCGCAGTGCTGGAGACATTTGGATGCTTTGAGACCAGCAGTCTCTGCTGTAGTCCAGAGGAAGGATGAGTGTCTGTGCCTCTTCTCATACCCTGAATGCAGAGCTCCATCCAGGACTGCGGACCTCCAGCGAGCAAAAGATCCTCCATTCAGAGTGATGCGCCCACCTCACTTTTGCTTCTAAGAGGTTCCTTTGTCAGGTGCTCTGCTTCTCTCTGCTCTCAAAATGTTCCTCAGAGCTGGCAGTGATGCAGTGTCAGTGATCTGCTAGTGCTTGTGCCTTGCCAGACACTGCTCTAGGCACTTGAGGGGTAAAGTAGAAAGAAGCTGACAGTCTCTACTCTCTCAGAATTTAAATTGTAGCATGTGCCAGGTGTGGTCTGCTGTCTCACATTCTATCCAATCTCTGGGGGAGATTGCAGAGTCTGGGGGAACTGAGGGGAAGTTGAAGGTGATAGGTAAATGTCTTGAGAGGAGGTCCTTGGGCATTTCCAGCAGTGGGGCCCTCGTTGCGACCTGCTCACTTCCTTAAGACCATGTTTGCAGACCTGCTGGGCTGTGGCCAGGGAGGCTTTCCTAGATCTGAACAGCAGCACCTTCTGATACCTCACAGCAGGTTGGTGCTTGGAATCATCTAGAAAGACCAAGAGGCCGGCCCCCAACACACTGATAGTGAGCTGACAATGTTTAACCCAAACCTGACCACCTCTCCTTTTTCTTCCTCTTCTGTTTCAGATTGAAAAAATCATGAGCTCTATCGGAGAAGGGATTGACTTTTCTCAGGAACAGCAGAAGATCTCAGGTATTGTACCACGCAGCTGTTTTCCCTGAAATAGGCTTCTTTCTGGCTCAGGTTTTTCCTCTGACACAGAGGGAAGATATTTAGGGGGTGTCGATTAGATACCCCATCTAGTTGTTATTTTTAGAATCGTTACTCCTTTTACCTGGTGGAGGGGAAAGTATACGAATTAAATTTTAGGTTATTAAGAAGCTTAAAAAAAAAAAACAAAACAGCTGTCACTTGTGTTTGTAAATGCAGGTGTTCTCAGCTTGATTTAAATTGGAGTGTGCCTTGCTCTCGGTCTCCCCGCTTGGAGGCAGTCACAGCACTAACTCTTCGAGAAAATGTGCCTCAGTGACCTGATCCAAGACAGTGGCCAGGCATTGGCTTGGACCACAGGGCTCGGGGCTTGATTTTGCTGTTTCCTCCTTGTGTCTGTTTCTCCATTTTTCACTCCAGATCACTGCTACTTTGGGTGTTCTTTCCATTTCTAAGCCACACATGTGAGGTCTACCTCTGTTTCCTTTGTTTAAAACAAGGAATTAGAGAAAGCCATATCTGAGCTGCTTTCCTTAGGAATAGAATTACGGTTGAGTTACCTTCTAGGTGAGATGATAGTTGCCTGGAAGTTGCCTCTGAGAGCACCTCTCACATCCCTCTTGCTGGCTTGGATGAAATGCCTCTCTGCATCAAGTGGGGGAATCCTTGCTCATGTGGAGGCTCCAACCAGGATCGATGGCATCAGTGACAAACACTTCTAGTTTCTCCCTGGGCTTCTAGCCCCATGGAGTTCTGAAGGGTGGGGGGCAAGTGTGTGTGTGTTGGGCAGAGAGGAGCTATGGGGCCTTGAGAGAGCATAGACTCAGGAGCCTCAGCCCTGGGTTCAGTGCCTGGTTCTAAATACGTATGTGTCTCGGGTAAGCCTCAGTCTCCCTGAGTCCTCAGCTCCTTATCTGTAGCTTTTAGATGATTGTCCCTACCTCATAGATTTGTTGGGGATGAGTAATAGATACAAATATGTGAGCTCTAGAGGTACTCCGTTAGTAGAGCTCTGCTCATTTCGTTCATGAAATCATTACTGTCTCGTGTCGAGAAACCCGCAGGGAATAAGGGCATCTGCTTTCCTGGCTTGTCTCCTTCAGTTTCTCAGATTGGGTTCAAAGAGCCACCCTCCCTCCAGAGCTGGATTTCCTCGGGTCCTAGCAGAGAGGACCCGCCTCGTTTCGTTTGCTTTCATCAGGTTTGGATTTTGCCAGGGTTTCCAGGCAATTGCTTACACTCAGATGACCTCCCGCTCTCTTGTAGCTTGCAGGCTTTACCAAGAGTCGGCTGCTTGTTGGGAATAGATGTCCAGGACTTGGATAAACAGTGTTGTCATTTTCCAAGCTGTGCTTTGGGGATGGCTGGGGGTAAATGGCAGTCCATTCCGTTGAGACTGCATTCTGCCTCCCTGTTCCCCTCAATGTCTAAAGAATGTAAATCACTTGCATGTGGGGTTAGAACCTCATGGCTTTGCTAAAAACAGATGTGGCAGCACCTTTGGAGAACACACTTGGGAGAGACCTTCTCCTTGGAGGTGGTAACACTTAGCTTTGGTGTGGTCCCACATTCCGAAAGTATTACCCCCAGCAGACCCATGTGAGTGGTGACAGTTGGTCCAGCTAGAACTCCAAGTTCCTGGATCCCAGCCCACTGCCCCAGCTTGGGAAAGTCAAGGACAGGCACATGAAGATGACCTTCTGAACAGAGTGGGTCCACCCACACTGCAGAGCCTGCCATGTCAGCACTCCTGCCAGGCCATGAAACCTGCCCATGAACTCTGTCCTCTGATTGGGGGGTGCAGGGGAGAGAGAAGGTTCTCCAGGACCTTGGGTGGTACCAGTGACACCAGCTTTTAGCTCAGACCAAAGCAGAGTTCTTGTTTATTTTGAATTGTCAGTATTAGGATTGAGATTGTCCTTGGGTTTCTGGATCCAGAGAAGAGATTTATGCTCCGGGGTTGCCAGCTGGGAGAAGAAGCTGGCCCTCCTACAGACAGCCCTTAGCTAAGCATGGGATTGCTTGGCAGGACAGGTTTTACTGATGGACAAGACCCTCCCCATATGGCACTTGAACCTCTATCCTGCTTTGGGATCAAGGGTCCCTGAGCTGGCAATCCTCAACAGACATGTTTTATGACTTGTCCTCTGTCAGGAGTCCAGAGACGTTAGCCTTCCACTGACCTGGGCCACTCTGGCTTCTTTCCACAAAGGCCCGTCAAGAAGAGAAATGCTTGGCTTTCTTTCACTGAAGCATGAGTAGCCACTTCATGCAGGCTGCTTCTGGGCCTGACCTCCCTGCACACGGAGCCTTTCTTTGCCCCAGCCGTTGGCAGCTTGGGGGATGCAGATTCTTCCCACCATATTTAGAGGGTGGCTCAGGGCTGCTGGGATTTTGTCTCTACGCACATTACCTTTTTGCCTCTTCTGCTGTACTTGGGATTTGTTCCTAGTTTCCCCTTGTCCTTGGTGCCTCCCTCCCACACCCTCCTTCTCCAGGTAGCGAGTGGCACCTGGGCTCTGACAGGCCCTGAGAGAGGTCTCTTCCCAAGTTGTTTAATACACTAACCTGTGGAGTATCAGGTATCACATCCTTATTTTGCTGGCTGTTTTTTGTGATACCCCAGTGGCTTATCTTCCTGACACAGAGGCACCCTCATTCCTGAAGTAGCACATGGGGGGAGTGGGGTGTCACTGAATCTGTGCTCTCTGGCCAATGTCATTCCTCTGTCCCCTCTCCTGGCTGTCCTAGAAACTGTCGGCCAGAACTATTGGAATATTCCCTCTCTTCTTCCTGATAAGCTCTATCCAGCACCTTGAGCTGGAGGTAAAGTTTCCCTGTCTCCACCTTTCACATGCATGTGTCTTGGCTCACATCAGATGTCGGGGAATCTGTCATTTTGCTCTGATGCTCGTGCCGCTGTCTCCTTCTCCCTCAGCGACAGCGGCGGCGGCAGCAGCAACAGCAGCTTCTGCTCCAATGTCCGATCCCTGATGTATTTTCCTGAGAGTGGAAGGGAGGAGGGCGGGGAGGGGAGGAAGGGGAGGGCCAGACATTATGAGAGTGAGGAAGGACTGTGGAGCAGGCAGAGGCAGCGTGGAGCCCAGGAGCCTTAGACAAAGCCTTCTGCTGCGGTTCTGTAAGCGCACACATCCAGCGGCAGCAGGCAGGACCACAGCTCCCGCGGGGGGATTACAAGCAGGAATGAATCAGCAGCCGGGGACACTTGACTTCATGGGCATACAAGAGCCTGCCGCTTAGCTTCCTGGAGCAGACAGCCCCACTCAAGGGCAGGGGAGCTCAAGTATCCCCCGGACTTGGCATCTTGGAGTGCAGCTGCAGCGTGCATCCTTGACCACCATCTGGTCTGCAGAGGACAGAGGAGAGGGGGAGCCTGGGACAGTGGGTCACAAGGGTCTTCTAAATACCAAGCCAGTGGCCTTGGCCTGCCCAAGGGGCAGAGAGCCCAGCAGCGACAGAATGACTTTCACCGTGTCAAGAGTTCTCTGGAGGTGATGTTGTAGTTGGTTCTCCTTTTTCCTGACTCATACCTTTTCCTCCCCTTCTCTTTTTTCCTTCTTTCATCTGTTCTTGCCCATGAGAAGTAGGTGGGGGTTCAGGTGTTCCGCTCAGAACACCCAAGGTCTGCCAGGAAGGGCTGAACTTTTCTCCTTTCTGCGCCACCACACTCCTCTGTCTTACCCAAGGAGCATAGCAAATAAGTGTCCTCCCTTCCCTGCTCACCCCTAGAGGAGAACGCCAAGATCCGGAGACCCCGGGAAGACAGTTGCTGTCTTTATCACTCAGCCAAAGAGAACAGCGCAGAACGTGAATAGACTTAAGCTGCCACAGCTCAGCTGACAGAGGACCGCTTCCTTTTTCTCTTCTTTTTATCTGGTTGGGTTTTGTCTTCTTTAGCCAAGAACTGGATCTGCCTGCCTGTTTTCCACCTGAGCAGGCAGGCGAGTCACAGGAACAGCCACTGTCAGAAGAGGAAAATGAATGCCCAGCCCCTGAAAAACAGCCTGGCCCGGGAAGGCAGCCCTGCAGCCAGAGCCCTGGCCTGGGAGACGCCCCGCTCGCCAGCGGCCAGAGTCTAACTGTGGACGGGGCTCGGGCCCTTCGGAATGTGATGTTGTCGGCCCAGCAGAGCCACACCCGAGCCTGATCCCCGAGCCCCGGCCCATGCGCCCCACTCAGCCCCTCGCTGCCTTGGGCCTCTCAGCGCAAAGGGCCAGTGGCCATGGTTTGCTTATTCCGGGACTGCTGGGGGAAAACAAGTAAAAGTCTCTTTTATCCCCCTGCCGTGTTCTATGCTGCTTGTGTTGCATGTGCTGGGTTCCCGTGAACAGCCGCCGCTGCTTCCCTCCCGGAGCCCTCGCTGTGTGCCTGTGTCCCTCAGCTGCATGAAGATGTGTGCTGTCTCCTGACCAGTTTATGCTGCAAGGTCACAGAACTTGCGCGGGGGCTCCAGAAGTTGCATGGATCACAGGAGCTCCCCCGCCCCTTCTAGTGCCCGTGGGAGCAGACTTTCTGAAATACCTCAGTGTGAACGCTGACGAGGAGTTGACCCGGAGACCATTGGGGGTTGGCTTCCCCCACCCCCAAACCTGTGGGCAGAGACCGTGCATGTGCCACCTCGGCCCGGAGCAGCTCGGACTGAGGGGGTGTGAATGGGCGGCAGCGCCCGAGGTGGGGAAGTGCGTGCGGCGCTGGGCCGTCCTGCCCGCGTCCTGTGCGCAGAAGAGGAGCTGCGGCCTCTGCTCTCGGTCTCTTGTACATAGTTTGGCTGCTTTATGGTAATGACTATGATGTGGCAGTGCCATCTGTCTTCCTCTGAGTGCCGCTGCTACCGCCTTAATGGTTTTTCCCTTTTCAAGCGTCTGCCGATTCCTCTCTCGTCAGGTTCGCGGACGCTGGAGCAGAGCGTCGGGGAGTGGCTGGAGGCGGTTGGGCTGCAGCAGTATGAGAGCAAGTTGCTTCTGAATGGCTTTGACGATGTCCGCTTCCTGGTAAGTGCCCCTCGCCGCCTCAAGGGTGGGGTGCAGCTCCGTGGAAACACACTTGCCTGGTCTCTCCGTCGCCCCTGCTGGAGTTTGGAACAGTACGTAGACCAGTATCCCAGGGAAGAGCTGAACTGACCACTTAGACATCCAAGAAACCAGCCAGTGCTGCTCCTTCTTCCTAATTCTGTCTCCCTCTAACTCTGCTCCAGAAACAGTTTTGTAGGGACAGCTTTTTGCAAGTGGCTTTCTGAGGATGAGGGTCCCTGATGACAGACCACTGCCCCCTGCTGACCTCAGACCATATGTTGTGCGATGAGGCGTCATGTCGTTTCATTCCAGGTCAGGCACCAGGGCTCTAGGTAGACAGGACAGCCAGGTCTCTTGTGCTGACTCCCTGCCCCGTCTCACCTGGATACCAGAAGTTGCTTTTATTCTCCAAAACATTGCAGCCAAGCAAATAGTTACTGAAGCAAGGAGCCTTGTCTCTGGCAGAAAGCATTCTTCCCTATCCCGCCAAAGCCCAGAGCCTAAGGTAGGGACTGTAACTGTGGGGTCTCGAGTACTTGTTGTTCAGAGGTTGTCCAGAGTACAGAGTGATTTGGTGGTTGGAAGGATTGGTTGCTTTTCTGATGTGTAATTCTCTACTATCTTCTTACAAAACACGAGGGGTCAAAAAGAAAGAAAAGGGAAGAAGAATCGGTGTCGTTCTCAGGCTTCCTGCAGAGTAGGAGTCAGACTAGGATGTTGGGCTTGGAAATCCGGCACCCCCTCTGTCAGTCCAGAAATGCACTCATGACAGGTCATCCCTCTCCCGGAAATCCCCCTGAGGTGTTCTCGTGGGTGGGCTTGGGGCAGCATAGTCTGGGCACCCAGAGCCAAGGGCTTCAGCTCACGTTGGAGGCAGCTCCGGCATCCCTGGGGCAGGCGTTTAACAGTGATGGCGATGCGAGCCGACATTTTCTTATTAGTGCTCACTGGGTGTGAGGCCCGTCCTTAGTGCTTTGCATATATTACCTCGTTGGGTCTTCGTAGTGGCCCTGAGATGTATACTAATGTCATCTCCATTTTCCAGATACAGAGCAATTGGGTGGCTTGCTCAGGTTCACACTGCTAGAGTAGGAATGTGCACCCAGGCACCACTCTGAGGGTCATGTTCGAACTACCCTGATACGTGGCCTCTTTCTTATATGTGGATGTGGGGATTGGGACTTCACCACTCATATACTTTAAGTCACCTTCAAACATATCTTAGAAGCTTGGTTTGAGGTGAATCTAGCAAGCCCTTCCTCACCTTTCCCAGCAGGCCTATTCCTGCTCCCACAGTTCCTGGGACTGCAGCCCTGAGTCCACCTGAAGCTTCCTGCCTTTCCTGAAACAGATCTCTCACCACAGCCACCTCACTGGGCTGCCTCTATTGAGGGGCAGTGGTCAGTCAGCCCAGAGGTCACCCACTGCCCTCTCCTCTGCAGTGTAGATCTCCGTGGGTTTCCTGCTGACCATGGGCATGGGGTGCCGCCCTAAGAGCAGCCTCTCTGAAGGGCCGCCGGGGCTTCCAGAAGGGACCCAGACTAGGACCCTTCCCCTCACCTGGGCCAGCTCCAGTACCAAGGCAGACTGGAGTCTGTAGCAAACCAACCTCCTATAGGATCAGTTATTTTCAGCTTTTAAAATCTTAGGTTTTAGGGCTTTCCCGGTGGCGCAGCAGTTGAGCTCTGGACTGCGAAGCTGCCCACAGCCTCTGCAGTGCCAGTTCGCTCCCCGGCGCTGGCAAGGGTCCCACATGGCACGCAGACCTCTCCTGCCACCCGCTGCTCCCCTCAGCAGTGTACTTCGGTCCTTCTGCCTGTTCTGTTCCCCACTCTGGCTCTGGTGAATTCTCTCACCCTCCTGCGCTTCTGACTGTACCCAGTGCATGTATAAATAAATAAATAAATCTTAAAAAAAACACACACACAAAAAACAGAATAGATAAAAAAAAATAAAATCTTAGGTTTTAAAATAGTAATTTATTTTTCTTTTTAAAAAGTTAAACTGAGTATATTTATGGCTCTTTTTAACCTGACTCCAGTCTCACATGTTCCTTGAAGAAGTCCGGCAAACTTGGGAGGAAGGCAGGGCTGCAGCCGGTGAGTGAGAATGGGTGGCCCCCGTGCTGAGTATTTAGGGGCTGACCCCCTCTGAGCACACCCTTCATCAAACTGGCCATCAGACTGGCAAGGGAGGGTAGCCATGGACTTCGGTGTCCCCTGAACTGCTTTATTATTTTAGATGTTGAACTCTAGACTTCTTACCCCACTTTCCACTAAGTTTAGAAACGGTCAGTTTCCCTAACCCTTTCCCTTCCTCTGTCACTTGGGCCTCTGGAGAAGTCTGGCTCTCGCCTCTTGCAGGGCCTCTGTAGCACAAGGCTGCTGCTATTTGGAAAGGTGCTCATCAGGGGAGGCCAGTAGCTCACTCCTACCAGGCCCCTCCTGCTGCCCTGGTTCAAGCTGCTCCTTGTCACCGCACTCTCAATTCTGGTGGGACCGCTGGCAGGTGGAGTCTGTACAGGAAGGTATGCTGATTACCCTGCACTTGGCATGTTATTTCAGACACCTACCATGGTCTGAGTAGCCATGCAAAGCATCCTGGGTAATTGCATGTAAGTTACCAGATGGGCTACAAGGCTAATTAAGTTTTAGCAACCAGAAAAAAAGAGGAGGAAACACAAGAAGGGGGCATCTTTGTTTAAAGGCACCTCATTGTGGATGGTATCAGTTATGTTGCATTAGCTATGGTATATCCCCTGTGGTTTTGTTTTCAATAGGCTCTACGAGTTTCCCCTCCTTTTGAAATGCCCTGGAGACCTACTGCAAGATACGGAAGGAGCTTTAGGAAGCTCCTTTAGACGTAGTAGCAGCCTCTGGAAGTTGAGGGTGTTTCACAGACCAGGTGCTGCTATGCCATTTCCCTATGACAGGGGCATTTGTGGATGCTGTGCAGCTCCTTGTCAAAGTGGAAGGGTCTTGAACATCAAAGGGTCTATCCATCCTCTCTGTGCCTGAATCACTTCTAGGTCATCTCTGCTAAAATGTTCTTTCAATGACAGGGTATTCATCACTGACAAAGCAGTAGCCATTCATTCTTTACATTGCTTGGGCTGATTTAGAATGTCCTTGTTTTTAAGTAGTTTTTTTTTTTTTTTTGTTTGTTTGTTTTTGCATAGAACTGGGATATAGGCCAGAGATGCAGGGGGTTGAGAAGATTCACCAGAGACAGAACAGGGAGCAGAGCAGGCAGATTTACTGAAACACACTGCTGAGGGGAGCAGTGGGCAAGATAGGAGAGGTCTGCTGCATCATCTGTGGGTTAGCTTCCTTGCCGGGGATTGAACCCAGGCCACAGCAGTGATAGCACTGAGACTTAACCCCCCAGGCCACCAGGGAGGCCCAAGAGTGTTCTTTATATTGAGCCAAAATCTGTGTTCTGTGGTTTCGGTTCCTTGGTCCCAGTTTTACCTCTGTGGCCACACAGAATGCACGTAAGCCCATCATGACTTCCTGTGCCCTATTTTGTTTAGGCTCAGCACCATCTCTCCTCACTGTTCCTCTTCTGATGTGATGGCTGAACTAGACAGCAAGCATTACAACTTACACTTTCTTGCCTGAAAGCAGAAAGGGCCTTTGATTTGGAGGAGTCAGGGCCAGGGCAGTGGGGCTGCCAAGTGCTGACACCAGACCCCGCGAGACGGAGTAGGGGATGTGGCTTACACATCTGCCAGCCAGCCCGCTGGCTCGTGCATCATCACCAGTTCCATTTGCAGCACACATCTTTTCCACAGGAAATGGGCTTGCTTAAGAGAAAGGAGGAAGTGCATTTAATTAGCACGGAAGAAAGGTCACTAGTGGTTGGCACGTTGGTGGCTGGCACAGGGCTCTGTCTCAGCCCGACCTCCCTTCACAGAAGTGTTGACTAAGTAATGGTGCTCCTCGTGCGGGACTGTTACATACGTGGATGTTAAAAAAATGTTTTAGAATATCTGCTGTGGGGAACTGTTCATCTTGGAGTATTGAATGAAGAAATGAAAACACTAAAATGCAGGTGCAAGGTGATCTTAATTTTCAAAAACAGAAAGCATTCTTGCAGAAGAGGTGCAAGGGAGAAAGCCGAGATGTGTCCAGTGGATGTCCCAGCGGGACTGTGGTGGCTTCATTTTCTTCTTGGAGGGTAATGAATTTTCTGCATTACCTACAATGAAAGAATCTGGAGTCAGAAAAGCAAATAATCTAGGTGTCTTTAAGGCACTTGATGGCCCAGCTGGGAAAACAAGGCACATAAAGCAATGAAAACAACAGACGGGCCAAGTGTTAAGTGCTGCAGGGGCACAGAACGGGGAGGAGGGCCTGCTTTCAGGGAGTGTTTCCTGCAGGCCAGGCATTGAGCTGGCGCCCAGCCCTGGGGGCACTGGCCATGATTGGGCAGTTGGGGTCACTGAGGCCCAAAGTGGGGAGTTGCTGCCAGTAAGTGGCAGTGCCAGGGCACCGGCCCAGATCTGTCAGCTTAGAACTTCTGGATTGCACTCACAGTCCGGGGTTTGCTGTAGAGGCTGTGGGACTGGGAGAGAACAGGGGTAAGGAGAGGCTGGCGAGGGCCTTGGCTGTCTGTGGTGTTTGAGGAGGCTTGAGTATAGTGAAGGACAGAACCCTGACTAGGCAGAGAGCTGCCCCAGGTCTCTGAGCCCAGGTTTGCGTGGGGTAGGAGTCCCCTGTTTGTGTCCCTGGAGTCAAAGTGCACCTTAGACAGCAGGGTGGTTGAGAGTGGCGTGTGGTGGGTGGTTGTGTTGGGGGAATGGACAACCGGAGGTGATGAGTCTGGCACAGGCTCAGGATGGGCTGGACATGGCCTGGTGCAGCCAGTCATCGCTCCTGCTCCTCCCAGCAATTTATTTCTCCATAGGCTTCTCACGTGGCAGCTAGGTTCCCACTGTTTTCCTGTCTGTGTCTGAGACTGTGCCAGCTTGTTCCCAC